ATTGTTCATAATAAAATTTGAACACAATCATTTTTATATTTATCTTGTAGTTCGAACGATATATTAATATGTACAAACATACTTAAAGCTATAAAACATAGTTAGAGACTAATAAATATTTACAAAGTWATAATGATACAATTTTTTTTTTTAACATAATATAATATAGGTGTATGCTGACATTAATTTTAGATGATTTATGATACATTTATGAGGCTCACTACTCGTTAGTAAAATTTCTATAGAAGCGCATACAAAGCTACCTAAGAGATTATCTTATAGGTATACCTTATGATACAACTAATAGAAGTTTAAAAGTGTAACTAAATTCATATGAAATGAGGTAACTTGAGCCATATTAAAAATATTATTCTCACAATTGACACAATTTAACATTATGTTATTAACTATATTTTTTCAATACAATATTTATTTCAAATTTTATTATAACTTGTATATAATATACATATAACTGATATGTCTTGTTTTTATGATTTACCTATTTAAAAGGTTAATTTTTTCTTTATTTCAATTAAAAACTATTTCACATTAGTTTTGAGTTAACTATAACAAGTTAATAATCATAATTCTAAATATAGAAATTCAAATCTGGAAATCCCACATTTTTATAATATTATAAACCACTTAAATTATTTCAAATTATTTAATTGTGAATAACTTTTTTTTGTTATGTGGTACTGAGGACCGGAGAATAAACCATGTTTCCGATACTACCCCTACGGCTTTTTTGAACAAATCAATTCCAACCACAATTAGCAGCGGTTGTCCAATCTCCCACTCACTACTATTAGTTATTACAATTCATATTTTACTATTATACAGTATGGTACAATAAGGGAAACCTTGCTCTGCTAAWGTTGCCTTTGGCTATGTTAGTATAACTTATCATATTGATCTTCAGTTGTCAGGATCCCTGGCTCCGATGACCTGCAGGCTCTTAGGAAATAATAATAGTGAAAGACTATGAATAGCTTAAAATTTTGAATTTAAATTTATGTAAAAAAAAAGTGGGCAGGTGGATATCACTCTGCTATAGTGCTATATAGTAGAGATGGAGAGTAGATCACTATAATGGATGTGTTAAATTTTAATTCAATGACAGATGTCATTGTATACTAAAAGTGATTCTGAATGGAGATGATTTATATATTATATTACTGATATAAATTATAATATATTTTTATTTAAAATTTATAAATTGTGTCAGATGAACATCCTTAAGTGTTCCAATGATCTCGAGCATTCAAAAATATGTCATAAAGTACCTATATTTAAAATGTTAAAAGTTTGAATATATGCATTATTTAAGCACATAGGGCGAGTATGATCATCTCATATAATTAATAACTTTATTACTTACAAGAAGTTTAAAAACATCCACAGGTACCTTTCTAAAGGTAAGAACTCAACCTTGAAACCTTTAAGATTTAAACAATTTTTTAAGCTTTGAAAATATATTATACATTTCCTTGAAAGTTACAACTTTTATTTATTTTTATTACAACTCCTTCTTCTTTTGAGTAGGTACAAAGAAGATGCAGCTTTTTTGCCAATTCTCATTACAAGGTAACCTTATGATATAAATGTAGGTATAATGTTTTAAACAATTATATTAACTACACMCGTGCTTCTCAATCTTGGGCTGTGGCTATGTGACTGGGAGTTCTTGAAATATTTTCTGTTATTTAGTTATATTTTAACTGACCCTATGATTAATCMTTGTCAATAAAGTCTAATGTTAGATTACTATTATTAAATAATTATAAAATTGTAAGGGTGGCTTGACAGTTTTACATTAAATTTAGGGGGGCCTAAAACAAAAAAGGTTGAGAAATACTAAACTACACTATTAGCAATATTGCAAAATATATTATTGGAGAGTATCCACTATAGCGGATGTATATAGGAACATAACTAATTTTCTTATAAAAATATATTTGTAAAAAAATGTTTTCCTATGAATGAATTATCAATTGAACTATAAAATAAATTTACATTATTACAACATACCTATGAGTGTAATATTTTTTTTTTAAGTAGGATTATATTATACTATAGTAANACGGCCATGGTTGGACATCTGGCAACCACAAAAGGTTTATGCCCATCACTATACATTTTGTTTATTCAAATTTTAGTGTACAGTCGATTGTCATAAGTTGTTCTTAATTCAATGAAAACCATAGTGGCATAGATTTGAGTGAACAAATCCAAAAAAACTATAGATGAATTGCACCTTGAAGGCAAAACAGAGTTGGCCGTCTCTCACAATGCTGGTAATATAAAAATGCATTAGGTTTACTTAAATTAAAACACTTGGGATGCTTTGCTCATACTTTAAATCTAGTTATTTAACCGGATCTTATAATAAAAAATGATCGTATTGATGAAGTTAAGGCCATCGTTACATCGCAGAAGTACAGTACCTAGCATATAATAAGGCCAAAACTTATCAAATAAATAATGGGATAGATAAACCAAAAAATTACTCCGACATGTTCAGACCTGGTGGAATTCTACATGTTATATGTTAAATCTCTATATTGAACTAGAAAATCCTATAATGGGGACATTATGTTTGTTTGATAAGGCACCTCAGAACAATTTTAAATTAAGATAAGAAAAATTAATTTTAATCTGTCATTTTTAGTATTTAAGTGATTTAAATATTAAATAAAGTTGAAGACGAAAGTATTAAATATGGAACATTTTTAAGGGATTAGTACATGAATGTAGAATTCATAATAATTTTGGAGCACATTGTCTTGAGAAAACGGACATGAAAATCAGGTTTCTATTTTAAATTCCACAAATTATATTACACCYAGCTTTAATTTTACTCTATATTTGCAATTATCAATTATAAATRTAAAACATGTTATGTTAAAATTAAATTAATTTCTCATTGTCTTGAGGTTAGAACTCAGAACTGAAAGCTGTAATTAATATTTATGACTAAGTTAGACTGGTTGGTAAGCTAAAAGTTAACTGCAGCATAAATAATAATTATACAGTACCTAGTATAATAGTATTGCACATATTATAACATAAATTATAATTATTAAAATTACAATCCAATAAATTCATATACCTATATAAGCATTGAGTATTGACAATACTAAAATCAAATAAACATTTTTTATTTCCAATGTTCCTTTATTTTATTTTGTAGGGTTTTACTTTATAAACCAACAAATATATTTTTAACTCGGACACATCTAATATAAAATATCTTGGGTAGGTAATTCCACAAATGTATATCCTTACTTAATTTTCAGATAATATGYCATTATTAATAATATTGGATATTTTTTTTTAAATATGAACACAACTAAATCATTATTGTGATGACACTATTTCCTTCTAAATTAATGTGTACCAATCTTTTAAGAGAATATAATATAGTGATATATCGTCACTTCAGTTTGTTTCTATTATACAGAAAAATATTAATCTGATATATTTTTTTTTAATGATGTGATATCTCCATTTATTGAATTAGTTGTATTTTCTGATGTTTTTCTGTATTGATTATTCAGAATATTTTACTTATAGATTATTCCAATAGACCATGATTTATTTGAAATTTGTGTAACATTTAATTTTTTTTAGGATGAGATAAATGTGTATAAATTGATTCCATTAAATTAAACATGTTTCTTGCATTCTTAAATATCATAAAAATTAAATCTATAAAGTTTTATCAAGAAATAAACCCTTATGATACAACTGATAGAAATTTTAAAATATAACTAAATTCATATAAAAACATGTGAAAATATTATTTTAACATTATTTTATTGGCTATATTTTTTGAATACAGAATGTATTTTAAATTTTTATATAACTTGTATTTGTATAATATACATATAAATAACATCTCTTATTTTTATGATTTACCTTTTAAAAGTTTAATAACACTGATATCTTATAAAAATAAATTAATGAGTGATTTCTTATAACATTGTTCATAATAAAATTTGAACACAATCATTTTTATATTTATCTTGTAGTTCGAACGATATATTAATATGTACAAACATACTTAAAGCTATAAAACATAGTTAGAGACTAATAAATATT